TATATAAATTGTAGACAAGTATTACGAAAGCTAATAAAATATTTATGTGTATGTTTGTAATACTGTAAGTATTAATAACGGCTGACAGCTGACGCTGCTACATGTATTCTTATGGAAGCTATAGAAACTCTTTTTAACATCATAAATCTCCCACAAGATCAATTATTTTTTTTTTAAATTTTTAGGTAGAAAAACTTAAATTCAATCCTTTTCTACTTTTAGAGTTTAGATTAGTGCTTACATTTTGAAAGTTTTTGCGTAATTAAAACATTAAAAAATTGATTCAAAAACGAGAAAAAATAGAGTTGACCGTGTCAAATCTGTGATACTTGTACGAATTCGTTATCCTATGTGCTAGCTATGAATATCCTATAGCTGACTATGGGACAACCCATCACTTTAAGTTGCCATATTACCATATTAGTTTATGCAAAATTTCAGCACTGTGTACTTTTTTAGTACAAAATTTCAGTACTTTTCAATATTATCGAAGATATGGGTAAACTACTGTTGAAGTTGTACGGCAGCAACTACAAAGAATCAAGAAATTTCAACGGTTTTTAGCAAATATAACAGCCCTAATAATACACTCGTTTACACGAGATTTCTATATTATAATTCCAATAATTTCTGAGATAATGCCAAATAACTTTTGGAGTTGTATGGCACCCACCAGAAGGATATGGAGTATGGCCACAGCTTTTATAGTTTCTGAGATATAGCCAAATAAATTTGGAAGTTACCGTATGCCAGGTAACTGAACGATCATAACCCATTTAAATAGGATTCTGACATTTATTATAATAAATAATTTGTAAACATTTTCTGAACTTAACTCAATTAGTTTCTGAGTTACCGCTAGGACGGACATAAGTTCGTACGGGTATAAAAATCTTCTAGGCTCTATTCACTTTTTTAAAGATTTCAAATTTTATCATACATATCATACATGATTGCAAATTTTTTTTCTGGAAGTATTAAGTTGATTTTTGTGCATTTTTTAATTTTGAGAAAATGTACATTTGCTTTCATACACGATTATATGTCTCCCACAATGCATATTTCTTATATAATCACTAGGGAACGGATTTTTAAGTTTTTCCCTATTTTTAGTAGCGCTTATTAGGACATATTTGCCAATATACAAATGCGTTTCATAAAATTTCCTTTTATTTGGCATGGAATCAGTGGTCGAAGTGGGATGCTCAAAGTGTTATTTTAGTTATTTTTTAAAAAAATAACTAAACAAAATTTACCAAACTTTGGAAGTAAACTAACGAGAATATTTATATTCAAAATTAAATCAACTAAAAATTGAATCAAAAACTGTGCAAATTGTTACCAAAGAAATGCATAGACTATTATGTAGTAACGAAAATTTCACCAATAGAAAAAAATTATACGTTACTATTTGAAATTGGTCTTATTTAAAATTACATATATTTAATTTTTTGTTAAACAAATTTTTAAAATTCATTAGAAAATATTCTTAAATTTTAAAAAACATGTTCCGGAACACATTTTTCTATCCTATTAAGTAGTGGGATGGATTTCCAATTATTTAAAAGTACTGGGATGGCATCCCACTCCATCCCGCCTCACTTCGAGCACTGCATGGAATTGAAAAAACTTTTTTTAATCCTTTTCGGGGCTTAACACTTTTTTTTAATCTTTTTTAATATTTTTTGCCTTTTTACCGACCGTATTGTGTATACAATAGGAAGGTTATGTGATGGCCCAATTTTTGCATATCGAGTTTTCGGTGGGAACACACTTCTCCATGGTAAGGAAGTGTAAATAAACTATTTTTAGCAACCTGTCGATTTGTCTGTCTGTCTGTGTGTGCACGCGTGTATCTCAAGTTCCGATACACGCGTGCACACACAGACCGATTTTGATGAAATTTTATATGTAAGTTTATTTCGACTATGGCACGAATTGATCAACTTTTGGGATATATGAGGCCTCGCGAATTGGACTTTTTAGCGGGCCTGTTTTACATTTTTGATCACCATGAAGAAAATTTTCAACAGGTTTACTTGAAATTTCATATATAAGCTTCGCTCGACCGTCTGCAAAACCTCCTAACTTTTAAAAGAAACCAGGCGTCAGCAACAAGACGTTCACTACCAACTTTACATTTTTGCGTATATAAAGAGAAATAATCAACGGATTTCATTGAAATTTAATATTTAAATTCTTCGTATTAAAACAATGAACAAATAAATTTTTTTGAAATATCAGGGTTTGGAAACTGATCTGAGGGCCGACTTTACATTTTTTTACCATATCTACGGAACGAATTCGTGAAATTTCTTGAAATTTGATATTTGAGTTCTGGTTGTTACCGAAACGAACTGGCGGAATTCGAGTCAACAAAAGCAAAACTCTACTAAGAGCCAAATTTACATTTTTCTAGATATTTTAACTATAAGCTTACTTACGCCCTAAAAATTCTGAAGAAGTATTTAACAGACATTTTTATAATATTCTTAATTAGACATTACACATTGCAGTCGGTTATGTGCTGAACACATCAGATTTTTTGACCTATTTTGCCATTTTCCAGCTACTCTGTAAATACAATTCAAAATTGAATCAAAATTATGTCCAATTCTTTAATTTTCTCCTGATTTTTTTTATTTCACTGAATGTCACAATTCCTTTAAAAAATAAACGCATTGACATTTATTTCTGCTAAAAAATTTTACATTTTTTTTTCCCTTGAAATTTTTGGCTTATCTCTTCATGCTCAGATAGAAATTATTAAATATGCTGTTGAAAAAATAAATAACGTAAATGGGTCACATTCAGTTAAAGTTAAAATCGCCTATATTATTAAAAAAAAAATAATGATTTCAATGTATTTTGAAAAATGTTACAGATATTATCCCTGGGAACACAGCGTCTCCTCAAATTTTGTACACATATGCTGAAATCATGGTATTTAAATTTGCGCCAGTGCCTTCAACTGATAACCGACAAAATTTTGCGTTTGAAAATTTACGTAATCATTTCATTATAAACTGCATTTTTAAATAATGTTACAAAATTTACATTGACACTTAACCAAATTGTGCAATCAGAACTGAAGCTTTATTTTGGTTGCACAATTTTTTTTTTTAATTTAATATTTTATTCGCGATACTTTTTTGTTTTCATACTCGTAAGTCTGAATTTAAGTTTTGTTTGTTATTTTTGAGTTAAATTTTGTCATATTGTATTTTTAGCACGATTTAGTTAAATTTTGTTTTATGTTCAGTTTTATACATTTATTAAAATAAAAATGATACTTTAATTTTTTTGGTATAATTTTTGAAGTTTATTAGAACCTTTTTTAGAACATTTTTTTCAGTTTAAAGCGACCTATTTAGGTGCCTAAAAGAAAAAAGAAGTTTTTTTAGTACCTAAAAATCCATTCCCTAATAATCACATAATGTATCCATATATTTTTCATTTGTATACTATATTTATTAAATTAATATGCTTATGTGTATTCAAGTAATGTATGTATTCTAGACTAAAAAATGTAGCACCGAATTTTCTTTTACTCAATGAATTATATTTTTTACTCTCAAGTGTGTGGCGTGAATAAATGAGATGTGGAGTTTATGGCGGTTTCTGACATGGCGGTTCAGGAAATATGCGGGAAAAGCTCGAAAATATATTTAATCAAAATTATAGTTAAATTTTTGAGTTGAAATTTGAACTTTTGATATTTTGCTCAAAAAACCTCAAATTGCATTTTAATTTTATTTTAATCAACCGTTGTGTTTTATTTAATTTGTTGATGGAAAACTCGAAACAAAAATGGGCAAAAATCAATTTTTTTCAAAAAAAAAGATTCAGAAATGTTTTTTTGTTATAAATACATTCGCAGTTTTAATTTACACACTCCCAAAAAAACAGGGTCCAGGCGCAGATATCTTTATATAAGATTCCGTAATACATAATTTACTAATGCATACGATGCATTAAAAATTGATTATCCTACTTTTTGTTAAGAAATATATTCTTATATTAGGTATTTGCGAATAAATTAGAAATGTTCACGATGATTTGGGATCTTCGAAAAATTATAAGCGATTAAATTTAAAATATATACAGAAATTATTTTATTTTGTTTAAATAATAACAAAATTAAATTTCATGTTCTTACAAACTAAAATAATAATTTACAGGTAACAAAATACTCTTCAGGTAAAACAAAAAATGTAAATATATAAACAAAATTGTTTTTGAAATAACACATTACATATTTACACAAAAAAATAAAATTTTTGAATCTATTTTTCTCAAAGGCAGTAATATTTGATAATAAAACAAATTAAGATTTCCTTCCTTCGTTCGTCTGATGTTTTTTTGAAGTCATTTCTTTTGGATGCGAACGTGCCGGGAAAACGGAAGGTATTGCGCCGTTAAACATTTTTCATCTCGACAAATCATACGGATTTTTTTTTTTAAAATATCCTTTCATATATCCTAAATGTTTTTTTAGTTTTTTGAAAAGTAGAAGCGAATATTTTAGCGAATGCGATTTCATTTCTCTTCATAGTAGTAACTGTGTTAGACTAACTTAAACTTAAACAAAAAATTCAAAACTTGAAAATACGACCATCCTCTTTAAATTCCTTGTTACGTGTGATTATTTCTTCCGTAAACATTTGAGTGTTATTTTTGCTAAGAGCGTAATTCAATATTACTCTATTACGAATATTCGCAGCACAATTTTAGTAATTCGTAATTGACAATATGATATTCGTAATTATCTGAATTTTAGAGCTACGAACCAAATTTTTGATGAACTGAATATTTTTCAATATGTTATTAAATTTACATACAATGTACTAAAAAACTGAAAATTTTACATCGAAAATTTTCAATCGATCGTAATTGGAGGAAGATCATTTTTGTAATGTATGCGTACTTGTAAGTTCTTAAATATTTTTGATGCTTAGAAAAAAATCATATTTTAATTTATGGCAACTTATTATTTAAAGAAATAAAATCAAGCGAGAAAAATTAAATAGCAATATTAAAAACAAGAAAAGTAAAAAATTATCGCAACTTGAAAAAGAAAAGAATTACTTTTACTAAGATTTTAATGTCTAAAAAAAATATTGTTAACTAAAATATATCATTTTTAGTTACTTATCTTAATTAAAATAAAAATTAATTATATATTTTTTAAAAAAAAATTATAAAAGTTGAAAAGTGTAAGAAAATTTTATAAAAATTAAACGAAATAATATTGCAAAAATGGGCTTCTCTTCGGCTTTACAAAGTCGTGCAGCCCATGAAGCAATTATTGGACGTCAAGAGGCTGAATTGCGTTTAATGGAATTAATGAAGCGTTCAATACAAATGAAAGCGAAGTGTGATCGAGAATATGCAGTTAGCTTAGCTGGTGTTGCACAACAAGGATTAAAAATTGATCGTGCTGATGAATTACAAGGTAATTAAAAGAGTTATAAATCTAAATAAGTGTTTCAAAACATAATGTATGTATGTACAATTGTAAACTTTAAAAGATAGTGATTATTATAATTAGAAATTATTTAAACCTAATTTATAAGTTCATTGCATTAAAACACGGAATTGCAAATATAAGTATAAGGTTATGATCTATAATTTATATAAAATGTATTGCGTATCAAAATTAAAAGAAATTCCCTTTGATAAATAATATATAACTTGTTATTACATTTATGTATATACATAAATCATACGATTCTTTTTTCATGCGCTCTATAATTCTATACTTTGAGAGTCTATAATATCATATTCAAATGTTTAGCGGAATTTTCATACGTGATTATGACTCGACTTTTCATAATTACTTTGTCACGTAAGAGGCGAATCTCTTGATTTTTGCATTTAGTTATATATATCGTCCAAACTAAGTGACTTACTGCGTACTGATACCCGTTCCAAACTAATTTCCTTGAAACTAATTTTGGATAAAGGTTTACATAAAATAATTGTTAATTAATTTTTTTTTATTACTGACCGCATTTAATACGATAAGAGAAAGTTATGTGTTAGCACCAAATTTTGTATATCAAGCTTTCGGTGGAAACACATTTCTCCATTGTAGGGAAACGTTGAAATACACACAGAGACGGCGGTCTGTCTGTTTGTATTTTAAGTTCGACTTCACCGATTTTGATAAAATTTTATACGTGAGCTTATTTCGACTATGTTAAGGATTGATCAACTTGGTACATGTCAGGCCTCGGGAGCTGAACCTTTTTGAAATAATTTTTGCGAATATCAAGACTCCTAAACTGGGCTGAGGCCTAATTCACTTTTGGTACCATATCTAAGGAACTAAATGTTGGGAATTTTTGGAAATTTAATATTTGGGATTTACATGCTGGAGTAGCTGATGAAATTTTTAGGAAATTCCGACGGCATAAAGTAAATTTCGTCTAAGAGCCAAAGCTAAATTTTCCTGGGTATGTTAAATAAAAGCTTGCTAACGTCCTTTTGAAGGAATTGTCTAAAAGCCATTTTTATAGTCTTACATCACACTTTTTTGTGTTTGGTATTAAAAATCACTCAAAGTTCAAAAGCATAAATCCTAGAACCAGATAAAATAAAGTGTGTGTGAGTTCATAGAAGAATTAGTTAAAAGCAAAATAGTTAAACTAAATTTCGCCAGTATCAATAATCAACAAAATCATTTCATCCGCTTCCCGAAATTTTAATCATATATTTATTACCCTAATTATATTTATTACTCTCATCATGCGAAGAATAGTTATTTGTCTGATGAAAAGATATAGTTTAAGTTTGCAACTTGAAGTCGATAAATTTTTGACTAATAGTATTTCAACCTTATTCTTACTTTTTATCCGCATAAAATAATCATTTTGCCGGTCATTTAATTTTGCAAAAGCTTTTCCTTTAGATGCAAGAGATGCCATACAGTTTTTAATCATTTGTCAGTTTTTAATCAGCTTAAGTTTTTAATCATTTGATTGAAAATTTCAAGAAGTTGGAAAAGAAAGATCGCGAGATAATGCATTATTGATTGTAATCATTTATTATTTTTTTTTTTGTTTTTTCATAAATGTAAATATTTTTATTGAATGTAATAAATTCAAAAATTATAAAATAGATCTGTCTATTCTTTTATTTTTTTGTAAATTCCCATATTCTTTGTAGCGGTTTTACAACATAGAGCGATAATGTTCAAATAATCCCATATTAAAATGAGACGGACGCGTTTAAACGCGACGTTAGAAATTTTTTCTCTTCGGCCAACAAAAAAGTCCTAAAGTCCACAATAATTAATTATTAAATGAAAATTTTTGCATAAGAATTTCATTGTTTACTTTAATATTATCTTTGCTAATCATCTCACTTTTTGTTTAAGTTACTAGGGTACTAGTTTAAGTTTTATTTACTAGTTTAAGTTTTTTACTATTTGCTAATATTATTTATTTTTTAGACAGCCAAATTACAAAATCTTGGCGAAATTACATGGATGAATTAGATCAGCAAGCGAAACAGTTCAAAACAAATGCTGAACAATTAGAAGTTGTTTGTGATAAATTATCTCATTTATCACAAGACAAACGTAAAGCACGTAAAACTTATCAAGAAGAGCATTCAAAAATAGCCGCACGTCTTAACCACGTGAGTAATATTCGTATTTAAAATTAACAAAATAGCTTTTATAATTTTGTGTTTTTTATAAACTTTAGTTAAAAATGTACATAATGAAGTATTTTATTCAACATGACAAAAAGCGAGGTTGTTGAAAAATTCTTGGTTCTATTTAGTAGTTACATGTATACCACAAATATATATATGACGTTTAACTTATTTTGAGAGATTTATAATACCAATTTGAACTAAATTCTACCCTTATTCGTTTTTTTTATTCTTTCAGAAAAATACTATTGAATAAAAAATTAATATCCTTGATTTATAATTTTTATGTTTTCACTCATTTGTGATTTCATTAATTTTAAGATTTTTTATTGAATTTTTTGTGTTTGGTTCTTCTACTTTTAATTGGATTTACTATTTTTTATTTGTAAATATTTCTAAGTATTTCTTTTAATTCACAAATCAAAATAACAAGGTTAGATAATATTTAATATTTTTAATAACTAAACATAAGTAGGTATAATGCTACTCCTATATAAAAGTATGTTCGCATATCATTTTTAATTTGTTACTCTACTATAAGCAATCAGTTTTTTACATCAAATTTTGTTATTTCGATAATAAAGATCCAATTGATATATATTTCTGATTAAAAAATGCAACAGTGCAGGTCTTACGGTTTCCGGTATACTTTTAAGGCGTCTAACCATTTTGGTTGAGTCATAATGAAATATGTTGAAAGCCAGTGTTTTCCAATTTATATTTTTATGTAACATACTACATATGTACATATATAGATATTAAGAATATCAAATGGATTGATTGTATGTATGTATGTATTTTATATATACAAAACATACCTGGGTCATATAATGGAAAACAAGCGCATTTCTCCATTGTAGGGAAGCGTAAATAAACTATTTTTAAAGGGATGTCGGTCTGTTTGGCTGTGTGTAAATTTAAAAAACTTACATATTATTTACATAACTTAGATGTTATGATTGATTGATGAGTTATGATTGTTGATGATTGATCAACTTTTGGGATGTTTCAGAAAAAAAAGCAAACAATTTAATTTTGTTAAAGTGTTACAAATCACAACTCACGACTTTTATCATCGCAAATGATGTAAGTCAAGTTTGTATCGTAATACAAAGTTATTGGATTTGAGGCTGAAGATTTTTGAGCAACTGATATAGAAAGGGGCGAAAAAAATTCCGATTGAGCGGTTGTCCATGTTACCTGGTTTGTCACGGCATTAATTACGACTACTTTATCTGATACTCCCTGAATATCGTGTTACTACGCAGTACGGAGATGATAAAACGCATTCCATTTTACAACAATGGAATGTAAATTTAAATACTGGAATATTTGAATTTAAATACCAAACATATTTAATCTTCAGATTACATACTTGAGACATTTTCCACCAAATCAACTTAAAATCAAATTAAGAGTCAGAAACCGAACAAAGTTACACCAAAAATTAATTCTGTACATACATTAATTAGAATGTAAGTAAATACATATTATGTATACATTGTAACTTCAGAATTATATAATTCTGAAAAAACTTTCGTTTGAAAGTTATATAATACGGAATATTACAAATTATATAACACAAACAAAATAAGTAATTTATAGAATACATAAGTATATTAATTTATATGTATGTACATAGATATGTACAGACATATTATATGTACGCAGAAATAATACGTTTAGTTACATATTTCTATGTATACAAATCAAAATATGCTTATCTTATATTTTTTTCAATAGTTTTTAAATAATATCTCGACTTAATGTAAAAATGTTCAAATTGGATTTAAAAATAAATCGATAAAGAATTGCACCTGTAAAAGGTTAATACTTATGCATATCAGTAAATGTACGTACATTTGTGCGCATTTTAAACTATGCTTGTATATATTATTTTTATTTTTTACATGCTTAGCTAAAACATATTACAATATATTAAATCAATTTACAAATTTTTACTTACTTTAAAAATTTTATATCAAATAAAAGATTAAACAAATTCTAAAATTTTAATATAAATCATATATGAACGATCCTATTAAAAATATCGGAAGAAATCAAATCAGATTTCATAAGATAAAAAATGAATATCACATCCGTGACACCAAGTCTTTTGTTCAAAGTGAGTTTAAAAGGAATGGTCCCAACAAAGGTGACGAAGCGCAAATTTTAAAAAATTTTTTGAATTGACTCAGTCCTGTTAATATAAATATTATAAAAGGGAAGAATATTCTAGCTGGGAACGAACTAGAGACGAATACAGTGACTTCAAAACGTAAAAATCATTAAGTTCTTTGACTAGTGTTTTATAAATCTCAACACAGATCTTGTCTTGCGAATTATGTAGTTGTAGTGATTGGCGAATGATAACATATTATTGAAGAAAACATCCAGGTCCCTAAGTGAATCAACCTTACTAAAAATTTGACCATATAATGTATTTACTGAAATTATTGGCCATCTTTGTGTGGAAAACACACTAGCGCGCATTTACTGAGATTGATTTTCAAGCTAATCCACCAACTGTATAAATTATTAAGATTACTCTGTAGAGAAACTGCACCATTTGAAGAACAGATCTCCTTGAAAATTTTTATATCGTCAGCATAAATTAACACTTCCCTGCAATTCAAAACGGTCAGAACGTCATTAACAGTAATTACGAAGAGCAATGGGTCCTGGGGAACCTGAGAATTTGCCACAAGCGGTGATGATACCGATGAACGAAAAACGACGCTGTATTTCCTTCCACAAAGTTAAGAGTCAACCGAACTTACAAAATCTCCAATTTCAAAAGAATTATGTCATCGAGCGAAATGTCAAAGACTTCTGATACCCAACTTCCATGTTATTTATAAAGATAGAGGTAGTTTCTACCGGATTAGTCACCGTTGATTTCTTTTTCAGAAAATCATTCTGAAAATTACTAATAAACGGAATGCAATGGTAGTAAATGCCATCATATATCATTAGTTCAAATACTTTTGGAATGACCGAAAGTTTAGCAATAGGACGATAATTTACCACATCACTTTTATTTCCCTTCTTTACAATCGGTCTAATAAAGATTTCCTTTCAATTGAAAGGGAAATTTCTAAGGAGTAAGACTTAATGAAAATAAAAGATAGCGGAGCTAAGGAAGAACAGCACCTACTCAAAATTATCTCAGAAATACAATCAGGCTCAGGAAAAGGGATAGAACCAAATTAAGGAGGTATATTTCAAATGTAGTCGGATTTATAGCCAAATTAGAAAAAGTTGGGTTTTGGAAAGTTATTGATGTGTCGAAAATTATCCAAATTCACTTAAAATGAAGTAGAAGAGTACGATTCGGCAAAAAAGTCACGAAAAAATTTAGAAATAACATTAGAATTATTACTTGAAGAACCATTTAACTTCAAGAGAGTTGTATAGTTGCCACATTTCTTCTTATGATTAATAAATTTCCAAAAAGTTTTGGGGTTATGTATAATTTCGTCTGAAATTCTTAAAATATACATTTTAATATTGTTTAGCTGCTACCTCGAAATGATCATACTTAAGCTGAAAGTTACCATAATTACTTCTAGAAGAAAGATGTTTACGCCAAAATTTGTTTTTTTACGTAATCTTCTCAATTTCTCAGAAAACCACAGAGTTACAGAATCGTAATCCTTATTCCTTATAGTTGGAATACACAATTCAAAGCTAGCAAATATGATTTCATAAAACTTTTTCGTAATTGACGCGATATCATTAACATTAAATACTGATGAAAAATCGTTAGTAGAAAAGAAATCATTCAAGATTGTAAAATTAGCCCTATTAAAATCAAACAAATAGGAAGAGGCTCGTCTGTAGATGGTTGATTGTCAATACAATATAAAAAAGAAATCGGAGAACGATAGGAGTCAACTGGTTTGACAGAACGATTGGTACGCAATTATACCAATCAGAAGTAAAAACCAAATCCAATTGCGTAGACTGGTGTTTCAAAACTGACAATGTTTTCTGAAAGTAATCAAGTGAAAAGAATTCAAAAGGTAACTCCAACTCACCATCACAGTCTATTGAGACAAAGTTTTTTCTCGTCATGTGCCGTTCACGCTTTTTAAGAAGATTAAAATCTCTACATCAGAAAACTTTGTCATGGCAACTAAAAATTGCAAATGTATTCATTTTAAACAAACATTGAACAATATTTTGAATATATGTCAGAATGAGTTTTTAAGTGCCACAAGTACCCCAACTTCCTTGGAATTCTTGTAACAGTCTCTTCTAAATACTGAAATAGTTGGACCAAATAACTCAGGGTTATCAATAGAAAGAGTCAACCATGTTTCCGTTAGAGCAAATATGTAACAGTCCATTATGGAAGAATTGAGCAACGCAGCATCGGTTTTAGTGCTAAGTCCTTGAACACTTTGATAGTAAAATAAAATTTGAAGTAATTGGAATGCCTCCACCATCCGGCGGGTGAACGGATACCAAATTATTTTGGAATGACTTTAAATATCTCTGAATATTTCAAACAACAATTGGACGAAGACGAGGGACGAAAAAACCTATAGTTGGATTCTCTCATCCGTTGCAGGTAGTCAGCCTACTTACTCCTTATGTGGTCTTGAAATGTCTCTACCTCCTGAGACGATATCGCTTAAAAAAATCTGCGAATAATACGCAGGAAGACCCTCACCCTTTATTAAAACTTTTAAGCTGAATTTCGTCTTGCCACCATAGTGTACATGTTCAGCCGTATTGTGCAAATAGATAAGCAAAAGTTTTACATAGTCATACATAATGCGATTCCTAGAGCGCGATAGAACGTAAACGTTATCGTCCGTTTCTACGTCATACGATTTCTCGTCATACGATTATAGGTGGTAAAAGTGGATTGAAAAAGGGTTCAACAGATGTGTTAATAGGAATTTTGTCTTTAGCAGTACGGCCCCGAATAAAATTAGAGCATTCGCTATTCTTGTTATTATACCTATTATTGT